GTGAGAATTGTTGAATAGCTTGAAGAATGTAACTAGGGCGACTAATTCTGCACGTAGAAATTGTTGAAATGATGCATGTTTTGCTGTGTGTAGTTTCAACAAGAACGAATTAATAACGTTTATGAAAAAAACTTGAAAGAACTATTTTGAAAACTCAACAATATTTTAATTGAGGTTAGAATAGAATATGCATTTGAGAAATAACAAAGTTAAGTTGTACTTTGGAAAGTTTCTTTCCACAGAAAATAGATTATGGTTATTTTTCTTTGTCAAAACTTCTAACCTATTTATTGCTTTTTACATTTTGACTAGAATCTTTTTGTATATAAATAAATGTTGACTGCAGCACTAACGCCTCTTGTGTTTCTTTATATAGGGTAATGCTCCCAAGCTGGTTTACACTCCATTGACAGATAAGTGCTACTTAACTCTCACTCAAGCCATGAAGATGGGACTAGGAGGAAATCCGTATGGACCAGCAGGGACTGGAAAAACGGAATCAGTAAAGGCTTTGGGTGGACTTCTAGGGAGACAAGTTTTAGTGTTCAATTGTGATGAGGTAGATCTATAAATATTTTCAAACTATATAATAATAGGTAAATTTTATGTTTACATTATAAGAACCCTCGTGGCTTGGTGATTTCTCAGGAGAAAAGTGTGGCTTTCTCCCCCTGTAAGTATTTAGAGTCTTGGAGATCCAGAGGCAGATCTGCTCTGCCCCATGGGGTCACTGTGAGTCAGAATGGGCACGACGGCCCTGAGATGTTCGGATTAGCTCAAGTGCGGTGTGCTTCTGAAATATTTTAAAATCGTTTTATTTTTAAATTACTTGAAGACAGAGCTTGTTTTAATTCAATATAAAATGGAGAGTGTCTTCACATAACAAAAGTATGCTAGTTCCAAAATATCTCTAAGGAGAATGATTGCAAATAAATAATTTAAAAAAAGACAAGGTTTATGTTACACTGTAAAAAAATATGTTTTTCGTTAGAGGAAATATTAAGGAGAATGAGGAAACTCTTAAATTCACTTAAGGTTACAATGTAGGGAACATTCTATGTAGGATTTATATTTCTATTTTAAAAATAACAGAAAATCTTGTTATTTATTTTGATTTGTAAACTTTTGAGATTACTTTTATAAAGATAATTTTGTTTATTCATTTAAAACACCCTAGGTTTTGAAAGAATAGCTGTGCATTCCCTACTCAAAAAAGAACAAAAGAGGCATAGATGGATGAAATGGTTTGTTGATCTTTAGGGAGAAATGACAAATAATAAATTATTATTAGAGATATTAATGAATCTAAATACTTGTTGTTTTCCAGGGCATTGATGTGAAGTCAATGGGAAGAATATTTGTTGGTTTGGTGAAGTGTGGTGCCTGGGGTTGTTTTGATGAATTCAATAGGCTTGAAGAATCTGTACTGTCTGCAGTATCTATGCAAATCCAGACGATCCAGGATGCTTTGAAGCATCATAGAACTGTATGTGAATTACTTGGCAAAGAGGTACAGAATTCTGCTATCACATATGCTGTGAATCTAGAGAATTACAAATTTTGTAAGAACTGTATTACTTGTATTCAGACAGGAGGCCATCATTTTCTATTACTTGTGTTTTTAATATGTTACTGCTTTTATACCTTTTTACTTATGAAATATCTCTGAGGCTTCTTACTCCTTATTTGCTGCCACTACCACCATTCATTTTCAGATTTTCAATACTGAATAATTCTGTTACAGTAGCATTTACTAACTTTTACTGAGTGTGAAGTCCAGCCTTACATCCAGATGGGTCCTACGGGATGGTTGTGTAATTAAAGGGAAGAAATTAAGAGATAGGCAAAAGTTTTGTGGTGCTCACCTCTGCCATAACTTCAGGAGCCAGGTCCTCACAGAGAGAAATTATACTTCCACCATCAGTTTATTTACTTTCAGGGCATTCAAGCCCCCTAATTACAGGTAACCACATTGTAACAAAGTGGGATGTTCCCTAACCCTTAAAGTCCCTGATTTCATTGGAGGAGTAACTTAACATCAGTGCTCAGGGGATGTAAGGGGGAGTGACCGCACCCCTGAATAGGGAGAAAAATTTCAAAGTGTCTGCTCTGACAGATAGAGCTGCAGGTTTGATAGCAATCAGCCATGTGCTTGTACGAGGTAACTTTAAGGTAGTACTATTATGAGAGGATAAAGTGAGGGACAATATTATGAGAATATGATTGGGACTCATCTCTAACTCACAAGTGTGAAGGCCTTCCACTCCAGAATCCTGGCCTACCAGCCTTCTTAAAATATGAGAATAAACAATTCATCTGCATACACTCTTTTTCCGTTCCTCAGTTTCCCACAACTGAGCACTTCCTCTAGGCAGGCACTGTTCTTAGTATTTGTGCATTTCCTTCTTTGGTTACTTAACAATTACACTCCTTCCAAGACTGTCACTTGTTGAAGCAGATACTAATGATTTTACCATCTTTTATGGATGAGGAAACCAACCTTGATAAATTGAGAGTTAGTAGTGGGGCCGGGAATTGGTTTCGTGGGTCTACTTCTGCAGTCTCTGTCTCTTTTTTGCTATCTGGTAAGCATTGGGCTACTGTGTGAATGTTCATTCAACCCTACCAGCCAATCTGTGGGAGAAAGAGAGGTTATGTTCTCCTGTAAAGATTTATCGCCTTGGAAACCCTATGAGTCATAAACTATTCCATTGGTTTTTGTTGTGACTCTATATTAATGTTAAAACAATAAGCACCTAGCAACCCCTCACTCCCATGGCATCTCCCCATTGAAAACTGATGAATCATAGCAACCCTATAGGACAGAGTAGAGCTACCTCTTGATTTTTTGTGACTATAACTTTTTCCTGGAGTAGAAAGCCTCATCTTTCTTTGCAGAGTAGCTGGTGGTTTTAAACTGCTGACCTTGTGGTTAGCAGCTCAGAGCATAACCCACTATGCTATTCTTCCATGTTATTATTAGATGTTGTTGAGTTAGTTTGACCTCGTAGCAGTCCTAGGTACAAGAAACTGCAGCACTGCGCAGTTCTGCACGATCTTCACAATGGTTGCTATGTTTGAGCCCACGGTTGCAGCCCTAGAGTCAGTCCAGGGTCTTCCTCTCTTTTGACCTCCCTCCATTTGACCAAGCATGATACCCTTCCCAGGGACTGCTTTCTCCTAATAACATGTCCAAAGTACAGTAGGCGAAGTTTCACCATTGCTGTCTCTAAGGAGTTGTCTGGCTGTACTTGTGAGTCAGATTTGTTGCTTTGTTTTGTTTTTTTTTAGGCAGTCTATTGTACTTTTCATATTCTTCATTAGTAAATTCTTATTATTAAAATGTAAGCTGTTTTAAAAGAAATTTGAAGATCTCTATGTAATGTATAGTGCTGAATACAATGAAATTGATTAGATGTGTGAAATTTTCCTGTTAGCTCTAGCTGCATTTTACAGTAAGCACATATTTTGGGTGTAGGCAGAGATAATTGTCAACATGTTATTTATACGTATATGCTTAAACTCTTTATTTACCAATAAAAGCTATTCTTTGCCATCAAATGTACCAGCTCTCATAATCAATTCTCCGCACCCCCACCTACCTTTTCCCCCCGTTCTTCGTAAGAAAGAACTCTCTTTTCTTATTACATCACGAATCCTTTGACCTGTTCTTTGGCCAACTGCTTCCCAGGAACCTTTTCTGAGCTCCTCCGTCTTCCTCTGTAGCTTCAGCCTCCTTTGCTTAGTCCTCCTCAGCTTTCAGCATCTTTTCTATCTTCATAGTAATTAAAGCACAACAGAACCGTTCCTTGATTCATTGCCCCCCGCCATTGTTCTTTCTCTTTTACTTACAATCAGCTTTGTTTGTTTGTTTTTGCTCCAGCTGTGACTGATTTTGAATTGCCCATTCATTGTTTATTTACATTCTGGTTTGGCTTTTGTATTTCGTGTTTGGGGGAAAATGGTCCTTTGAGGGGCATCCATGATATTCTGCAGACTTTATCACAATATGATAGCTTATTTGTAAACTTTAAACTTCAGAAGGGCATGAATCATTACTGACTTCAATTAGAATCGTATCCCAAAGTGCCCAGCATGAAGTCTTTTAATAAATATGTGTATGTGTTGAATGAATAGACATTTTAACTGGTTACTATCTGTTTAGCTTTCTGCTTCAAAAACATGATTATAGGGAACCTTTGTAAAACGGTAGTACCTGAGATATATTTTATACTTTGGATAAGGAGATAGATGGTTTAAACATTGAAAGTTACTGTTTGCTAAGGTGTTAGGTTTTAAATGCAGAAAAATGTCACATACATTTTTGCTAACTTTAATATCTTTGATGATTTTATTTTATATTGACATTTCAGGTAGAAATAAATTCTAATTCCGGAATTTTTATCACTATGAATCCTGCTGGAAAAGGCTATGGAGGAAGACAAAAATTGCCCGATAATCTTAAGCAGCTTTTCAGGCCAGTAGCTATGTCCCGTCCAGACAATGAGCTTATTGCAGAAGTGATTCTCTATTCAGAAGGCTTTAAAGATGCTAAAACTTTGGGCAGAAAATTAGTAGCAATTTTCAATTTATCTAGGTGAGTTTTCCTGTTGTAAATATTTTTATACTTTTGGTTTCAGTGATTGACCTTAGTTATGTTCAGTGTTTTTCATATTGGTGAATATATTGTCCTTTAGTGGTGCATTAAAGATTTTAGTTTGAACAATAAAAAAAAAGTAAACCTGACTTAGCAGTTATTTACTTTTCTGAAATGCTATTCATCTTGCTTTTCTTCTTTAAATACTTACAATGGAGTACTTAGAGTACTTAAGAGAATTCTTTTTAAAATTTAATTAATTAAAAAAATGCTTTTATTGGGGGCTCTTACAGCTCTTATCACAATCTATACATACATACACTGTGTCAAGCACATTTGTACATATGTTGTCATCACTGTTTTAAAAACATTTTCTTTCTACTTGGTATCAGCTCATTTTCCCACCCTTCCTCCCTCATTAACCCATGATAATTTATAAATTATTATTTTTTTCATGTCTCCCTTTACCTACTTTTCTGTTGTCCGTCCACCTGGGAGGGGATTATATGTAGATCATTGTGATCTGTTCCTCCCTTCTACCCCCACTTTTCCCTTCCCCTCCTGGTATCGCTGCTCTCATTGTTGGTCCTGAGGGGAAGATAAATAATTCGTATTGCACTAATTACCAGCTGACCACTGAAAAGCTACGACTATTTTCTGGCTGGAAACTTCTGCAATCTAAATAGGTTGGCTTTTAGTTTCTATGGACAACCTAAGATTTTATTCCATATAACTTAAGAGATAGGGGAACTAGACAATATCAGAGATAGAGAGCCAGATGAATTGGTTGTAGACATTAGGAATGAAAGTAATAGTAATGCACTAGTAGCTTCACTAAGATAGCAAGCTCATGTAACATTTATCCTGAACCTTGAGAACCATATGTCTTCTTCAGTTTAAGGCATTATATGATTGAATCCCTTACCAATATGAGTGGAATATCAGTCTTCATTCTATATATCACTAGGTACATTCTGTATTTCTTTGGCTTTGTGCTAAACAGATTTTCAGGTGGTTATTTGATGTTTTAAATTTTTGCGTCTTAACCTCAGGGAACTTTTGACACCTCAGCAACATTATGATTGGGGTTTGAGAGCTCTGAAGACAGTTCTGAGAGGAAGTGGAAATCTCCTTAGACAGATGAAGAAAAATGGCATTAAAGAGAATGGTATGCTTGACTTCCAAATAAAATAAATTGTATGATAAAATTGTAATTTAAGAATAATTTTATATTTAAAGAAAAATTACAAGGATAATATAGGAAGGTTTTTTCTGTTCTGTCTCCAATTTCATTGTGTGGTACCTTATGAAATTTGTCACCACTGTTGAACCATTATCAAGAGCTTTGGGGACTGTGGTGGTTTTCGTGGTTTACGAGTTAAGTTGCTAACCATAAGGTCAACAGTTTGAAACTACTATCCACTGCTCATGACAAACGTGAGCCTTTCTACTACTCCCATAAATCGTTACAGTCTCAGAAACGCCCTGGGACCGTTCTAGCCTGTCCTATAGGGTCACTGTATATCAGCATTGACTCAAGGGCAGTGAATTTGGTTTGAATTTTTTAGTGATAATTAGAGAATAATTTAGCTCAATTTTCAATTTTTATTGCACATCACATTCACCTGGAGGCTTGTTAAAACATCGATTGCACCCAACTTTAAGGTGTTTTATTCAGTAGGTCTCAAGTGGAGCTTAATAATTTGATTGCTTAGTCAGGAATCTTTGAACCAGGTGGGAATTTTGACCAGAATTTTCTCTTTCAAAGAGATGGTATATCGAAGGAAAATGTCCTCTTTTCCTTTTTATATTTTGAGATGAAAAGAAAAGCTTTTAGTTTTGGAACAATTTTAGATATGCAGTACGGTTTCAAAGATAGTACAGAATATTCCAATAGCCCATTTACCCGGTTTCCCTTATTGTGTTGTTATTAAAAACTAAGAAGCTTTGTTAGTGCATTTTTATTAACCAAACTCTTGGCATTGTTTGGATTTTAACTCTTTTCCCATTAATATCCTCTTTCTGTTTCGTGATCGATTCCAAGTCACCACATTGAATTTAGTCATCATTTTCTCTGGAGGATGACTGTTTTTGAGCCTTCCTCATTTTTGTCCTGCAGAGTCTTGAGTGGTACTGGCCAGCTGTCATGTAGAATGTCCCCCAATCTAGGTTTTTCACATGTCTCTCCTCTGGTTCAGTGGAGTTGTGAGTGCTTACAACACTACAGATGTGAAATGCCTTTCTGAACATGTGGCAGTGGATCCATCATCACCGATGACATCACTGACTTGGGTTCACTTTACTGTTTGGTTCAGTTAGCGTTTATGAGGTTTCTGTGTTTAAGTGACTGTGTTCCCCTTTCTGTATTCTTTGGAATCAAGTTCCTACATCTACCAAGGATTCAGTGCTATTTCTTGGAGGAGTGATCTCTGCATTCACTATGAAATTCCTTTGCGAAAGAGATTAGTCTCTTCTCTCCCTTGATTTATGAACTTATTTGTTTATATCAGGTAGACTTTATGGATTTTACATTTTGTCACATTGTTTTTTTACTCAAATGCTCCCACTTGTAGACGTGTGCCTTCTTGAAAAACTGAATTTAAACCTCTTTAAACTTGGCTTTTAAAAACTATGTTAAAAAACTATGAACATAAGAGAATAAGAGCCCAGAAAAAAGGATTACATGATGTCACTTATTTGGATTTCAAAGTTATACATATTAAAAAGAAGCCTACTTCAAATTTGTTATTAGGCTGGTATATTCCAGAGTGGATAATAGCTATTGTGTGAAATGCTCAGTTTGCTATTTTTCATATCTGAAATAGATATAGTGTATGAATGAGTTCAGCGCTTGAGGTGAGGCCTTTTTCTTTGTACTTAAATGTATAAATATTAATTAGTTGAAGGGAAAACACCGGACTAAAAATAGTTTATTTGCCTTTATTTATATATGCTGTCAATCATCAAAGAGCTTGGTGGTGCTGTCAGGTTAGCCTTGGACTGCTAACTGAAAAGTTGGTGGTTCAAAGCCACCTGCTGCTCCATAGGAGAAAGATGAGGCTGTCGCCATGAGTTGAAATCAACTCGATGGCAGTTGTTGTTTTTTTCATTTGTTATCAATCATCAGCTAATTAATATCTTTGATGATAGGGAAGTCTGGCTTGAGCTCAGTGTTCACATTTGTTTAAAATGAGTTTGTGAGTTTTGAACAAGGCTGATCAAAGATTGTTGAAAAGTTTGCTAAGTTTTAGTCTTAGGAATTAAAATCTTTGGGAAGCAAAATTGGTATACATAAAATCCTTAATTATACATGAGATATCTTCATAGGTGTGTCTTGATGCTTGGTTTGTAGGTAAATCGGGACAGGTTGATGGAGTTAGTTCATAGCCTTACTTGAGTGCAACAAAAGACAGGGAGCCGTTCAATGTTTTAAAAGCTGTACATGCCGCACTGAAGGTGATTGTAGTGAAGTACCTGTGAGTTAGGGGTTACGTAACATTTTAAAGCAAGTAGGAATTATCCTGATGTAGCTGGGAATTTGCTGTTTTTGGAGATGCCTGTGTCTGGACCCTGGTGATACTTGCTGTGAGTTAGACCTTGGGATGCTAACAGCAAGGTTGGTAGTTCAAACACATCATTTTCTCCAAGTGAAAAAGATTAAGGTGTCTGCTCTCATAAAGGTGTATAGTCTCAAAAACCCTACACAAGACCACTATGAGTCAGAACTGATTCGATGGCCGGGGGGTTTGGATCTGAAATTAGTCACTAGGGTCTGAATACCAGCTCTAATACATCTGCCATGTTCTATCAGCTGCATTTTTTTAAAGTCTTAAGAGACATAATTTTCTTATATATAAAAATGGAACAATAATACTTTGTCTACTTCATAGAATTATTATAAGGATTATATGATACATTATAAATGTGAAAGTACTATGGAGAAATAAATGATAATGGTATTATTATTTAAAATTGGGGTATTCTGAGATTAAAATTTCATGGAAAAGGAATCTATATCTCTTACAGATACTTATTTTTTGGCAGTCACAAGATGGTTAAATAATTTTTCTGGTTTATATAATGATATAAATATATTTTTAATAGTTTATATTATATATATAATTATATATAAAAAATAATATAAATTTGTCTTTAAATGCTCCTAAATTTTAGTGAACTATTTAATGACTGATAATTCACTTGGAGGCTATAGAGCACTTTGAAACTATCTTTATAGTCCTTAAATTAATTTTAAGTTCTTAAATAATGGAAATTTTTCTCTAGTTAATGAAAGTCGTATTGTGGTACAAGCATTAAGGCTTAATACAATGTCGAAGTTTACATTTGCTGATTGCACCCGGTTCGACGCATTGATTAAAGATGTCTTTCCTGGGATTGAGTTTAAGGAAGTAGAATATGACCAACTAAGTTCTGCCTTAAAGCAAGTCTTTGAGGAGGCCAATTATGAAATTATACCTAACCAGGTAACTATCAAGAATATTTTATTATGTATCAACCCTCTCTCCTAGTTAATGATCTCCTTAAGTTTCATTTTTCAATGTAAACCTCGCTTCCTTAGGAAAGTCTTCCCTGATTTTTAAGTTAAGATTTTTTCCCTTGCTATACACTTTCACTACTTTTTTCATACATACTTGTTTAATATTTAATTTGTGTTTGATTAGTACTGATTCTTTTCAACCAGATGTTAATCTCTATGAAAGGCAGGATGTGTATCTATTTTCGATCACTGTTTTATTTCTAGTCCTTATCCGAGTTGCTGGCACATCACAGAACCATCACATTTCCTTATGATGATGGATTGTACAGGAGGATCCCAACACCTGTGGAAAAGTTCCATTATCTTTTAAGTCTACTTTTCCATGGGCTTATTGAAACCACTTGCATATGATTTTGTTAATTGAATAATTGCTTCAGAGAAATTTCTTTTAATGGATCTTATTATGATCCACAGATGCATGTTTGTAATGAACACTTTCTCCTTGGATTTTTTTAAAGAATGAATACCCAAGCAAATAAAATAATGAACATATTAACTTGTCAAAAAACTGAACAGTATCCTTTTTTAAAAAAAAAACAATTAGTACTGCATTTAAAGATCACATTGTAATATATCACATTTAACAGAGTATTGTATTTAAAGCATTATTTTTCCACTAAGGAAAACAAACTTTTAATTTACATGTTTTAGAATAGAAAAAAATATTATAGAATGGCAGAACTGAGTATGATTGAACATTGTAAATCATATATGAACATCTTTTTTCCTATTAGATAAAGAAGGCTTTGGAATTGTATGAGCAGTTGTGCCAGAGAATGGGAGTTGTCATTGTTGGTCCAAGTGGTGCTGGCAAATCAACCCTTTGGAGAATGTTAAGGGCTGCACTTGGTAAAATTGGCGCAGTTGTGAAGCAATACACCATGAATCCCAAAGCTATGCCTAGACATCAATTATTAGGTCATATTGACATGGATACAAGGGAGTGGTCTGATGGCGTTTTGACAAATAGTGCTCGCCAAGTGGTTCGAGAACCTCAAGGTTGGTCTCTTGTGTGATCTGTTCTCTTGTGCTCCTTAATGATTTTTAGACCATGCTGGAATCTGTCTGGAATGCTGTCCATTTCAAGGTTTACACGTGGCTATAAGTGACATTATAAGATGTAAATTTGCTATTTTAGAAATTCTTTTATTCTAGAAAGCCCCAACATGAGATTCTTTTAATGACTTACATTCTATTAAACATTTATTTTAGTTTAAACTCAGATTAATTTAGGTTAATATTAATTCATGAATAAATTAATTTACTGAATAACAAATCTTTGGGGGAGTGGATAAAATAAAGCATGTTGATAGATATCAAGATGTCAAGTTCAAATTTTGAATATAATCAATACTGTTCTACTTTTTTTTTTAACTTCATGTTTAAAGAAACTTATGCCCAGTGTCAGAAGACACTTCCCATTCTTTTCCACCTCATACTTTTAATTAATAGTTACTTTTTAAGGCTATATAATGGAGAGTTCAGAAGGCTAAAGAATTTTCCATGTAGTCCTTTATTTTCTTTACAATATTACATTAAGTATAAATGAGATATTCTCTGTACTTTTTTTACCTTTCACTAGTGTTATTTTCCTCTTTGAATTCAATTCCAAAATCCCAAGTACAAATTAAGACCAATCTCATTTTAGAAAGAATAGATAAAAAAGACTTGTATACACAATTTGTCCATTCTTCTCCTTTGAGGTCATCTATTTCCTTTTTATATATTAGCAGTTAGACAGTGCTGATTTCTTGTTCTCATGTAGGGCACTGAGTACATCTTTCCTGTATTGACTGAAAGAGTTATCATATAGCCCCAGCAATCATGCTGTGTTCTTTGCCATTGAAGCAGACAAAGGACTGAAGAGGCTCTTAAGATGTCTCCTGAAAATTGAAATACCTAATTCTCTAACACCTGGTTTTCTTTCAATGAATTCATAAAGTCAGTATATTCATAGACAAATTAAACTGTATTTGTGTGTGTGTGGCCGTTTCTCGGAGTCTTTGGCCACCGGAACCAGGATTGCACATGGTTCCTCCAGCATATTCACAGTTTACATTGACATGGACATTTCCAATTTGCTCAAATTCTTGCTATTTATGTTTAAGTTCACTAGCATAAAATGATATTTATGCCAATCACTTATAAAATCTTTACTGTATTATTACTGTGCTTTCATTTGGCTTTATTTCCTATATTTTGGTTTGCAAACAGATGTCACCTCATGGATTATCTGTGACGGTGATATTGACCCTGAGTGGATAGAATCTTTGAATTCCGTCTTGGATGATAATAGACTACTCACTATGCCCAGTGGAGAACGGATTCAGTTTGGCCCAAATGTTAACTTTGTATTTGAAACACATGATTTAAGCTGTGCCTCACCGGCCACGATATCTAGAATGGGGATGATCTTTCTTAGGTAAGCCATAAGAACATTTGGATACAGTGTATGTTAAATATATTTAATTCTTATTTTGGTTTCTTAGTTTCATAAATAATAAAATACAGTTTCATAATATAGAACATTTATATATATTTTCTCTACCTGCTTTTTCTTGTTGTTTGCTTTTAATTAATTCAAAGAGGTACTTGGATTATTGTAATTGTTTTAGTTTAGAAGTTTAGATGGCATCACAGTTTATAAAAAAACTTTTCTGTTTAAGGGAAAGGGTATTTATTATTACCTTTATTTAAATATTGTGATTGAATTTAAAGAAGTAAGCATACTTGTTATGAGACAGAGTACAATGAGTTAAAAGTAAGTGGTGATTTTTTAATAAGATAATTTTAGATTCATAGAATTTTAGGCTTAATATTAAGTTTGTAAGACTCAGGAGTCACCTTTTTCATGTTGCCAATTTAAAACATTTTGTTTAATAGTTTCTTTAATGTTAGTTATTATATAGCATATGGAGACATGGTGGCTTGGCTTAGGTATGGGGCTGTTAAGTGCTAGGTGCATTGTTTAGAACAGCCAACTGCACCTCTAAGGAAGAGAAGATGTCTCTGCGTCCGTAACGGTTTACAGCCTTGGAAAGCCTCTGTAGGATGAGAAGCCAGAATTAGCTCGATGGCAGTTGGTTTGGGTTTACTTTTATCCTATAACATAGTCACATAATAGAAACATGAGTATATGAACCAATTTTATTTCCCAAAACGGATAATATAAATGGGTTAGAAAATTTAATTTTACTTTTTAAATGTATATATTCTTAGCATTTGTTACTTCTCAACCTATACAAGGGGCTTCCAAAAGTTTGTGGAACATTTCTATTTTCTCTTAATCCCATTTTTGCATAAAATGTTTGCAGCCCCCTCATATAAGTGTCCAACTTTCTTAGGCATGTTTAAACCTCTATTTTAGACATTACACGACATATGATAGTATAATCACATTGATTCAGATTGTGTTTCAATAACTATTCAATGGCTTACTTCTTTGATAATACTGTTGGAGTGATTTATATTAAATTAATTTATGAATTCTAATTCATATTTTCCACCACTTGCCTGTCAAGGTTATCATACTGTGGTGGCTTGTGTGTTGCTCTGAGGCTGGAAGCTATGTCACAGGTATTTCAGTTACCAGCAGGGCCACTCAAAGTGAACAGGTTTCAGCAGAGTTTCCAAATTAAGAACAAACTACAAAGAAGTAATAAGCAGTTCACTTCAGAGGAATTACCAGTGAAAAGCCTATCGATAGCATGGAAACCTTGTCAGATTCTGAAAACCGAATGAAGAGAAGCAGCACATTGTCAGAGAGAGTGCTGGGAGATGAGCCCGTCAGGTCTGAAGGCACTCGAGATATGTCAGGATGAGTTGTACTCTCAAAATAGTTGATAGTGACACTGATGGAGTACAGCCACCAGCTTCTTCATTTGCTGATGGGGCACAACTTAAAACGAGAAGAAACTGCTGCAAACATTAATAATTTGAACCTGGAATGTACAAATGAATCTGGGAAAATCAGAAGTCATTGGAACGAAGCGGGAAAGTCTGTCTGGAAGTACAACGCTGTCTTTGATAGAGTAATGTCTATCCGCATACAAGGAAATCCAGTCAATACAAATATTCAGATTTGTAAACCCACAACTAAGGTTAGTGATGAATTGAAACCCTTAGTCTTACAAAATTTCAACCTGTGATATGCTTTGTTTCCATTCCCAAGACCTTATTTTCTAACTACTGTTTCATCATCTTTCTTTCTCACTTTTGCATTCCAATTGCCAATAATTACCTTTACATCTTAATGGCATGTTTGATCAATTTCAGAATAAAGACTTTAGTAGAATTCTTTAATTTCATCATTAGCTTCAGTGGTTGGTGCGTCAATTTGGAGGAAGAAATCAAAGTTTCAATGAAAGCATTAGACAAAAACAAGACCCTAGAAATTGATGGAATACCAATTGAAATGTTTCAACAAGCTAATAAAGCACTGGAAGCATTCAATCATCTATGCTAGGAAATTTGGAAGAGAGTGAATTGGCTAACAGACTGAAAGAGATTCATATTTGTACCCATTCCAAAGAAGGGTGACCCAATGGAATGCTCAAATTATCAACAATATCATTAGTGTCACATGCAAGTAAAATGTTGCAGAAGGTCATTCAACAACTTTTACAGCAGTACATTGCCAGGAAGCTATCACAGGTCCAGATTAGATTCAGAAGAGGATGTAGAATGAGGGATATCATTACTGATGTCAAATGGATTGTGGCTGAAAGATGAGAACACCAGAAAGATGTTTACTTGTGTTATTGAATATGCAAAGGTCTTCAACTGTATGGATCATAACAAACTATGGATAGCTTGAGAATGGGAATTCTAGAACACTTCATTGTGTTCATGTGGAACTTGTACGTGGATCAAGAGGCAGTTGTGCGAACAGAATCGAAAGGTTTGCATTAAAGTTCTATCTTCTCACCACACTTTTTTTTTACATTAAAATTTTTTAATTAAATACTTTTATTGAGGGCTCTTACATCACTTATCACAATCTATACATTAATCCATTGTGTCAAGCACATTTGCACATATGCTGCCGTCATTATTTTCAGAGCATTCTCTTCCCATGTAAGCCCCTGATATTAGCTCCCCATTTCTCCCCCTCCCTCTCCCACTCTCCCTCTCTCATGAACTTTTGATAAGTTATAGATTATTATTTTCATATTTTGCATCATCCACCGTTGCCCCTCACCCATTTTTCTGTTGTTTGTCCCCCTGGGAGGAGGTTCTAGGTTGATCCTTGTGATCGATTCCCCCTTTCTCTCCCCACCCTTCCCTAATCCTCCTGGTGTCTCTACTCGTTGTTGGTCCTGAGGGGTTTTTATCTATCTAGATTCCCTGTGTTGGGGGCTCTTATCTGTAGCAGTGTGCTTGCTCTGGTCTAATCCGATTTGTAAGGTAGAATTGAGGTTATGATATTGGGCTGAGGAAAGTTGTGTGTTTCATCGGTGCTGTACTCGACCCTGTCTGGCTCATCTCTTCTCACCACACTTAACTCTATCTCTATGCTGAGCAATTAATCAGAAAAGCTGGGTTAAATGAAGAAGAATGCAGGAGCAGGATTGGAAGAAAGCTTATTAACAACCTGCATTATTCAGATGACACAATTTTATTTGTTGAACGTGAGGAGGGCTTGAAGCATTTTTTTAGGAAGATCAAGGATTGCAGCCTCCAGCCTGAATTACAACTCAATGTAAAGAAAACAAAAATCCTTATCACTGGACCAGTAGGTAATATCATATAAATGGAGAAAAAAAATGAAGTAGTCAAGGATTTCATGTTGCTTGGATGTACAGTCAGTGCTCATTGAAACAGCAGTCAAGCGATTCAACAGCACATTGCATTGTGTAAATCTGTACAAGACCTCTATAAAGTGTTGAAAAGCAAGGATGTTATTTTGAGGACTAAAATATGCCTGACCCAACGCATGGTATTGACAATTACTTCTTCTGCATGTGAAAGTTGAATCAGGAAGACTGAGGAAAAATCAGTGCATTTGAATGATGGAGTTGACAAAGAATATTAAATGTACTGTGGACCTCCAAAACTACAAACATGTGGCTCAGAAGAAGTTTACTTAGAATATTCCTCGAGGCAAGAATAGTGAGACTTCATCTCACTTATTTTGGACTTATCAGGAGAAATGAAACCCTGGAGAAGGACATCATGGCTGGTAAAGTGGAGGGATAGAGAAATAGAGGAAGTCGCTCTGTGACACAGAGACTCCAACAGTGGACTCAACCTTTAGAACAATTGCGAGGATGGTACAAGATAGCGTGGTGTGTCATTTTGCTGTAGATACAGTTGCTACGGGTTTGAAACAATTTGAGGGCACCTAACAACAACACAACCAACAATTGGTATTTTCTGGTGTTAATTTTTAAAAATGTTTTGGCTTCTGATTTTTAGTAGCATTTTCATATAACTATCATCTCTTAAATTTTAGTGTATTCTTAACAACTTGTGAAATAATAGATTAAGAGGAAATTTACATTATATTTTTTGCTGTTTATTGGATATATATGATGGCATTAAACTAAGATGTCTTTGGGCAGTGCCAAGTAGGAATAGAACTAATCGTTGTGAGTGATTGTCTTTAGGAAACGTACCTTCCAGTACTCCACTTCTTTGCGTCAATATAAACTCGTAGTGCCCCTGTAGGACAGAGTAGAATTCCCCATAGGGTTTTCAAGGCTGTATACATCTTTATGAAAGCCAACTGCTACATTTTTATTCCTTGGGCTATAGTTGGTGGGTTTGCATTCTAGATCTTTAGATTACCCATAAAATAATTATAGCCTTTATCAATTCCAAAATCATTTATGTATCAGACTTTTCTATGTTTTTATAAATATATCATTGTAATTTTAAATAAAAAGTAAATATTTTATTTTAATAGTTGCATGCTCCTCATAGGATTCAGTGCTTTGTGAAAAATTCTTCAACTTTTAATACGGTATGGCAGTTTCCTTAGTAATTGGATTGAAGGCTTTCTGTGGGCTAGAGAAAAAGAAGCAATATCAAAGATCAGGATCGTGGTTTAGACTGACTTGCTCTCACTGCCAGTGAGCCAATTTCAGCTCATAGTGAGACCCTGTTGGTCCAAGGAGAATCGCCCTTGTGGGTTTCTGTGACTGTAGCTCTTCAAGGAAGTAGAATGCATCCTCTTTCTCACACAGCGTGCCTGGTGGTCGAATTGCAGACTTTGGGGTTAACAGCCCAAAACATAACCACTATGTAATTAGGGCTTCTTGGTTTAGAATAGTGCATTCTAAACTTTAATGTGTATTTGAATTACCAGATGAATATTGTTAAACTGCAAATTTTGATTCAATAGTCTGGGGTGAGATTCTCTCTCTCTCTCTTTTTAATCGTTTTATTAGGGGCTCATACGACTTATCACAATCCATACATACATCAATTGTGTAAAGCACAGTTGTACATTCATTGCCCAAGATTCTCTTTAAGAAGTAGACCACATTTTGAATAGGAAGTGCTTAATTTTCCTTTTATAATAATATAGATATAAATTGTTTGCCTTTTTTTGCAAAAAACTATATATACATATATGTTGGACATAAATTGTCAATTTCTTCTTAAGTAGTTTCTCCTCTGTTTTTGCGAATCTCTGTCAGTGATGAAGAGACGGATGTTAATTCTCTGATAAAATCTTGGCTGAGGAATCAGCCTGCTAACTATAGGAATAATCTTGAAAACTGGATTGGAGATTATTTTCAAAAGGCTTTACAATGGGTCTTAAAGCAGGTAAGTTAACCATAATATTTTATAATCCATAATTTAGGAGGGAAATATAATCATAGTGGTGGTTCGTTGGGAAGGGCAAGTGAGAGGGACACCTTCATTCCTGGGAAGGCATTGCCTCTCTGTCGCTCTGGGTTACACTTTTGTTGTGTTAGTTGACACTTCTTCCTTTCTGAATACCTGCATAGTTTATGACAAATCTTGCAATGAATACTTGGATATCTTTTAAATTTTGATAGCAAGACCACCTTACCTTCCTACTTTACTTATATGTCAATATCTACCTATATATCATGGCTAAAAATGAAACCATGCTAATACTAAAATAGACAAAAGAATGGGGAGGTATTAGTAGCAATGTAAAGGACTTCAAAAAAAGCTCATGGAAAAATTCTGTTATCGTTCAGTTCTATTTTTCTATGAATTTTTAAAGCTGTCATGTGTAAATAAAATTTGTTTATTCAACAAACATTTATTTCATAGTATATGTCAAGTATAAGACACGGTGATTTATGAGAGCTGGAACTTGGTGGAGCTGCCTGTTTTTCAGGTTCTTACAAGTTTTGTGCCTTACTGCTTTGCTATCGTGTCAGTGGAAAGTAATTTGAATGTGCCTTCCTTGGCCAGTTTGTGCCTTACCCTGCTTTTGGTTGCTTCATGTTTTCTGTGCGCCACGTGAGACTGGGTGGTTTGAGTAATGGAGGAAAGTAAGTGTGCATCAGAGCACAACAGAGCCAAGGGAAGATTGTCATCTTCTAGGGGAGTTTTCAAAATGAGGTCACACTTGAATTTGAAGCATCAATAGAAATGTATCGTTTACTTTTATGAAAAATGCAAACCTAGATGAAATAGATACATGCGAGTTTTCTGAAAATCCTGATTGTTCATCTGAACTTGACTGAACTTAAATACCTTGTGACTGAACCAGACATACAGAAACCACAGGGAATGTTGGTCTGGCTTTGTCTTTTTCACTCAGTCTTTTTTTCCTCCTTCTGACTTTATAAGAATAAAAGACTTAAAAAATAAGTAAATAAAAGAATGAAAGACGTGTGAGAAAATGACACAAATGGCCCCATGTTCACTGGAGGACTCAGGGAAGGAACTGCCTCTCCTCACTCTGAGGTGTCTGCTTCGTAGGTACTTTTGTAGTAAATTTAAAAATTGCTAATTATCTTATTATCTTTATATTAAATAGTGATATAATTATTGTTGAAGGTAAGAACCCAGTCCTGGAGGGAAAGTGTTAGGGTTCTTGGGTGGGAAATACCTTGGTTCTTGGCTATGTACGAGAAAGAATTCACTCCGAAGCCCAGTATGTGATCCAAGTTGGGTTTTATTTTTTTTTAAATCATCTTATTGGGGACTCATACAATTCTTATCACAGTCCAACACATTTGTACATTTGTTGCCATCATCATTCTCAAAACATTTGCTTTCTACCTGAGTCCTTGATATCACTCATTTTCCCCCTCCAGCCCCCCTCCTCCTTCCCTCATGAACACTTGATAATTTATAAATTATTTTGTCATATCTTACACTGTCCGATGTCTCCCTTCACCCACTTTTCTGTTGTC